AGAGGAAGAGGGTGACTTGGTTGTGACCATGCCAGTTGGGGAAACTATGCACCTATTCCTATACAAACCACAATCACTCTACTTGAACTAATGGGATATGTGGCATCTTTGTCTGCTGAGATCATTCTTGGACAGTAAGTAGAGCACACGTAACCTTCTGGAGCAGCCATCTATGTTCCGAGCCCAAAGGTATCTGGAGGTGAACTCCCAATATCACCTCACATCTAACCGAGAGACTGGTTATAATCTATCTCATGGGAGTGAAACACAGGGCACTGCAGAGAGGCCATGGAAGCAGCTGTTTATTCCACCTGACACAGATGCTCATCCCCCTGTGGCCAGCACAGCTCTGTGATAAATTAGTCTGCTCCAAGTGGCATATTCACAGGGCCACTGGATGAAGTGGCTGGTATTAGATTGGGAAGTATTTGCTCTGCCTAACACACCCCAGATGAGTAACAATGACAGCTTTGAGGGTTTGAAGAGGCACCTGTCTTTCCTTTTTTCTTAACTTGCTCATTTCGAGTCACCTCTTAGTCCTGGGATTTTAGCTCTGTGATAACTACTCACCTCCCAAAAGGCTGCTCAGTCCTTTCCTGCCCTGGGGGTTCCAAGTCCCATCTCACTTCCATGGTGTGTTCTCCTACACAGTTCCGCTTTTTGCATAAACTGATTAATTGCGCATTTGCTGTGTAATGTGCTGATACCAATATGTCTGTAATAAAGCAGTCTTGGAAGGTCTACTACTTTCTCGTGATCGTTGAATATATAGATATGCCGTGATATTGTGTCTATTTTTATACATCTCATAGTTACATCTACTTTAAGATAGGAATCTATTCTTTCTTTAAAATAGCATGCATTTTAAAATAGAGAAACCTGAAAACTAAACATTAAGTATGTAGTACATGTCCTTATTAGAACTTAAGTATTATATTAGATCTCTAAACAGTGCATTCCAAATATCAATGTATGGGCTTCTTTTTCTTTTTCTTTTTCTTTTTTTTTTTGGTTTGTTTTCTTTACCATATATTGTTTATCAGAAACTGCACCTTTTCCTTTAAAGGAGTCAATATTCATTTGTATTCCATGCTGAGAGCTACAAATTGATGACTAGCAGTTATCAAATAAATGTTGATGAAAAGCAGCTACTTAACATTTTCATCCCAACAAAGGGTTTTGGAAGGATGGATAATTTAGATCTCAGGGCCTCAACTATAAATAAACAGAAACTGTGTCCTAAATCCCACCTTTCTGTAGTTGAAGATTGTGCTACAAATCTGACAAATGATTTCTGAAAGAGAATGATGAACCCTTATTACCAAGATACTCTTCACGTAATCCCAAACAAGAATCCTGGGTAATTTTACATACACTATCAAGATTGATGGTACAGTTCTCCTCTGGCAGCTCACAAATGTTTGACTAGATCGGAAATGGCATTCAGGCATGATTAAAGATTCTACTGGGCTTCCCAGAAATTCTCAGTCCCGTGTCATCAACACCCTAACTCATTGACAATGCTATGGGATAGAGACGCTCCCCT